ACATTCAAGACACCACTAATCTGATCAACGTCATGACCCCAAATTAGACAAGTGGGACAGGGAGAAGTGGCAGCCACCTCCCCCTGTCATCCTGCCAAAGTGGCAGCGACCTCCCCCTGTCATCCTGCCACTATCTATAAGGGGGGACACTGCAGGGGGTGAGCCTAAGGGGGAGAGAGAGAGAGATATTAGTGTGCGCTCTCTCTCTCTCTCTCTCTCTAATTACTATGAAGGTGAGGATGGTGCCAACATTATTTGCACACCTGTTCAATAATACCCACAGGGACATGTCTTCCTCCCTCCTCCATCCTTATGTCTTCTCTCCCTCTTCCTTCCTTCCCCCCACCTCTCCCTCCCTCCTCCATCTGTCCACCCCCTTCCCTTCACCTCATCTCCTCCCTCCCATCTCCATTCTTCCCCCAGCCCTAAATTTTATCTCCATCCTCTTTCCTTCCCTCCTCCCACCTCTCCTTCTCTCCCTCCTTCCTCCACTTTCTCTTACGGTACTAGGTCAGTCAACCTCGCCAGCACACCCACCCTCACCCCTCTCTTCCTTACTCATCTCCCCAAGCTGTAAACACACACACACCCAAAGTGTTTATGAAATCAGTGAACAATCTAATCGTCTTGTCTAAAACACTTTATTTACTCTCGACCAGCTGTTAATATGAAGGGCTTGTGCGTCGTTAATTAGAAAACGTTTTTATGGGTACAGTAAATCATGTTTATCTCGTGTGTGTGTGTGTGTGTGTGTGTGTGTGTGTGTGTGTGTGTGTAAGTTAGATATACATACAAACACACATAAGAGGAGGCCACGCCCACATTTCCGCCATTCACGTATACTACAACACACCTAAAGCCCTCCCCCCAATCCCAGTTTCAATGTGTCCAATCCCAGTTTCAAGGCCTCTAATCCCAACGTCGAGGCTTCCAATCGTACCTCCGGGAATCCCAAAACATATCCGCGAATTTTAACACGAAATTTCAGGTCTGGTCTCACATCCGGGAATTAGTTCAGCCCCATGCAGCACTTCAAACCGTGAGGACACAACTCCCACCCACCCACCCACATATCAATCCACACATCCACTCTTCCACCAAACGACTTGCTCATCCACCCACCAAACATCCCACTCACCCACCAACCAACCAACCAACCAACCCATCCTTCCACCCACTAAACCTAACCTAACAACGATAGATATTGGCGTGAGAGAAGAGAGAGATGTCACGAGATATATTGTGACATGACAGTATAATGACGTCACGTGATGAAGATTGACATGACAGATGAAAGGTTTACGCCATTCGGTGGGTCATATCGAGGGTATTGAATGAGGGAACGATACTAGTTTGATACGTGTGTGTTTGTGTATAAACAGCGTCACAAACACACAAACCTCCCACATAGTTAAAGGCGACAGGGGTCACTGAACTAACACACTCAGTCAACAAACCAACAGCTAGGCAGCAAGCGACCCACTTAAACTTGAGTTAAGGCTATCACAACAGTGTCTTATGACCCCTCCCTCCCCCACTACACAGATCAACTTTACACCCAAAACAAACCAATCATTGTGACAACCAGCCAAATGAAAGGTTAAAAATTAGAAAGAAAAGAAAGATAAATAAAACAGAAAAACAAAAATAAGAAAACAGAGAGAGAAAGATATCACATGACGAACATACAAGGTCGAGGGTCCAGGGTATTATTGAAACATGAAACACATCAGACGTCATTCAAGTTTATACCTTCCTGACGCAACTAAACTGCGTCTTGGATATTCACGTTGCCTGAGCTAGGGGAGGTGGTGATGGAGGAGGGGGCAGTGGTGGTGTTGGAGGAGCGGAAGAGGAGGCAGTAGTGGTGGAGGTAAAGGAGGGGTAGTGTTGGAGGAGATAGTGATGGAGGTAGTATGTCTGTACCGTACGTGTGTCACATACCAAGACAACCAAATATACCTGTAGGAAGAACTGAACAACACGTAATTAGTACACAGGTGATCTGATTACGTCACATGATCAATTACTCTCACTCGTGTTTACAACCTTGTCAACTATGTAACTCGTCACCCATGTCACTCACTGTCAATTACGTAACTCAGCATTGGTTACGTCACTCATCGATGTAACTCTTAAATCTCTCAAACAAATGCAATAAGAAAGTTATTTACACTCAAATATATAATAACTATTCTCACCAACAAACGATATAGAAACACCAGAATAAACACAGCCATTATACCTCCATGAATATTCTCACCGTGAGGCTGGCTGGCACGGCTATCCCGTCTATCCTCACCCAACAAGACGATTAGATGCGTGCACACACTCACAGGCTCCAATCACCTTGACGCGTGATCTCCCTGCCTCCCCTACGAACATATTTCATATTCCTTTCCTCTCTCAAACACACAAACACACGCTAATGGATACACCTTAACATCTACAAATACCCTACACATTTATTTGTTGAACGTTCAATAACATCAACTCTCAACGGACACGACCTACATAATTGCATCGTGTCACTATTTAGATCCGTTTACCCCATTACGATACCATTTTCTATGAGCAAGAGGTTATTAGGCAGTGTCCGCATTCACTGGGTTCATCTGGGCTAATTTTGTTATCTAACTGGTATTAAGAGTTACGTATCTAGTTCAAGTACCATTTACAGTGATGTTTTTAATGTTAGTTTTGCATTTTATTTGACCAATTTAAACCTTGGTGTAACTTTAACATATTTATGCAAGTTATATTCGCAATGTTATTCCAATCTCACGCGAGCAATCGGATGCATTCTAAAGTATTTAATTACGCTCCAACTTCATTTTAAAATAAATACGGTGCTTAATACTCTAAAAACATATATTTACTACAAAAACACACTAAAACACGTTATGTCTGCCACAGGAGCAAAACTGAGAGAGAAGTGTTTTGTATATAACCCGTAAATAGAGATTTGTCTTCGGGCGTAATGAAAAGCGGTAATGGATGATGCTGGAGTATGTGAACGAAACAGCTGAAGTTGTCTGGGGCGGATGGCTATTAATCATTCAGGGAAGTCGTCATACAAGTTTACACTGTATATAGGCTTGCAGGTGGAGTAACAATGATAAACAATAAAACGATCCAACCAAGGTTAGCCCAACAAAGCCGTCATCATTATTACCACAAAAGGTCTATTGACTCATATTCAATGGAAGGGACGGACACACACATATACAACATAGAAATACAAATTAATTAACAACAACCAAGAAAGGAAATATCATGTAAGAACTTGTGGGAGAATCCATCTTTTGTGTTGTAACTTTAAGTGAGTCATTTATATGCGTTCTCACACCTCGTTAACAAATACGAGCTGAGTATACCTTAGAAGAAAAATAAAAAATCTCGTAACTCAAAGCGAGGCAATTTAAACACGTTCTCGCATCTCGTCTGGGTATTAATATTAAATAAGAACCTTTGATAATCTTAAGCTAACGAAGAGATATTGAGAACTTCCACCCCCTCCTATTTTATGTACTACTTCCGTGTATCGCCCGGGAAACAATGAAATGCCAGCGGACGGTGACCCCCAAGCCATGAGACCAGGAATACCCACTATGAGACTTCAATCAAACTCATTCCCAAGCCAGAGCAGGACAAGCCAGGACCCCCAAAGAGAATTTAACCTCAAGCCAAGCCAGGTACACCCACACAATGATTCAACCGATACCAACCCAACTAAAACCAAGCCAGACCCCCTACCCCCCGTACGAACAAAGCCCTCAAAGGCGTCCAACATAAACACACACACACACAATAACAAACTTCCTGAACTGCATTATAACAACGATCGAGTCTGATTATTACACCACTACCACAGGTAAGCTGTATTATAACACTGCAGCGAACGTCGAACATAATAATGAAAACTGCTTGATTATAGAGAGAGAGACGGGAAAAGATTAGGTTCTACCTGTCCTGAGTCCAAGGATTAAACAGACAGACAAATAGACAGACAGACATCTCTTCGCCTCAGTAACCACAGGTGGTGTTATCAGGTAATAAGCTAGACCACAAACACACCTAACAATGGATGGGATTTCCTGTGTAAACGCTTCCTGTGTATTCATAGTAAGAGAGGTGTATGCATGTACGTGCGTATGAATATGTATGTAGGAGAGTTGTTTGAACTCTCTGGTAATATTAATTCTCGCTAACACACCACCTAACTCATAACACATCACCTTACGCCACACCCTTCGCCACACCTCACAACACACACCACCTAACTCATAACACATCACCTCACGCCACACCCTTCGCCACACCACCTCACTCACTTCACCACCAGTCAAGGAAGTCGACATTTTAAAACCCGTTAAAAACACGACCAACTGTACCATAAAGTGACCTCCACGTATAGATCAAGGGGTGAGGGGGGGAAGTGACAAGGGCAAGGAAAAGTGAAAAGGGCAAGGGAAAGTGACAAGGGTAGGAAGTGACAAGGACAGGGGTAAGTGACAAGGGCAGGAGGAGGAGCACACTGGTACGCATGGCTACTAATTTCTAAAGCTCACCCGTAGATTAGCCCCCATACTTTATTTTACCTGTAGATTAGTCCCCCCCCTATCTTATTCCACCTGATATAATTAGTCCCCTTAGTTATTTTACCTGATGATCAAACCACACCAACGCTACCTGGGGGTTAGATTAGGTAAGGTTAGGTTGCGTTAGGTTAGACTAGGTTAGGTTACGTTAGCATTAGGTTAGACTACGTTAGCGTTAGGTTAGACTAGGTTAGGTTACGTTAGCATTAGGTTAGACTACGTTAGCGTTAGGTTAGACTAGGTTAGGTTACGTTAGCATTAGGTTAGACTACGTTAGCGTTAGGTTAGACTAGGTTAGGTTACGTTAGACTAGGTTAGGTTACGTTAGTGTTACGTTAGACTAGGTTAGGGAGTTACAATATCTACCTTTACCTTATATTAAAACCAAATGAAACTCACCTTCAGGTATTGTGAAACGAGTCCGCTAAATTCTATCTTCCGTTGAGTCTAAATCCAAGTCAGCTGTTCATTAGTGTAGTAGGAAAAAATCCACAACACAACCTGTTCCCCCTTCTTCAAATTCCTTTTCACTCTCTAGGTATATAAATCATTCATGGTTATAACCCTAAAAGGGGAATTTTAATGTTTAATATATATTTTCTAACTGTATTAAAATATATATATATAGACTGCACCTTTTAGTTCATATGGGTACTAGGGAACGATTGGATAAGTTGACTGGAGTTGAGAGAACACAGGTGCACACCCAACGAGAGCCGAGACTACACTGAGGCGACTGACTGAGGTGAGGTGGGAGTGGTGTGGACTGTGGAGTAAGAGAGAGAGGGAGCCAACCACTTACCCCTACGTCTCCTCCTGCCTCCCCACAAGCGACTAGTCTCAAACCTTGTAAACACACCGGCTGGCTGAGACGGTCACATCCACCACCTGTCTGCCACCACCTGCCAACCAACCAACCGATAAAACTTTACCGCACTTAACGATTCATTTTAATTCAACACCACAGTCTGCCATAACTCACACACACAAGCAAATAATACCAACATAAACAAACATGCACAAACAAACATCAACACGCATACCCTGCACATAAACAAACAAACAAACACATGCAAGTCAACGTCTCCTGGGTACTAAAACACACACTCCAATTACAATGTACTTAAAGGCGATGAGAGGGAGAGAGAGGGGGGAGACAGAGAGGGGATAAGGTCTGGGGAGAGGGGGTGTGAAGAAGGAAGAATGGAAGGGGGTTAATGAATAATAGTGGGTGTGAAGAAGGGAGGGGAGACGGAGGGAGGGAGGGAAGGAAGGGGAGAGTTCAAGTTCAGTTGGTCACCTTCACTCCCTCCACCAGCAAAACCCCTCAAGCCAGTCTAGTTTAACAATGTAGGTCGCCTGCCTAAGTCTGTCGGTTATAGAAATATGCATATGTTTGCCGTAAAAAAATATATACTATTAGTATCAGGGTTGACACATCATGCAGGGCGACAGGATATGGCGTCCCAGTTATGTGTCCTTCATACAGTGTAACAATGTCAAGGGCTGGTCTCATATTCACCTATATAACATTATTTACAAATACAAGAACAAGTACACCTTTTGGGCATTCGGTAAAGTACAGAAACTCAACCATCCAAACGTTAACCCAACCTAACCCCTCCTAGATAGCGTAAAGGTGTTTAATCATCAGGTGAAATAAACTGGGAGGCTAATCTTCAGGTGATCCATAGTGAGCGTTGTTTTTCATGATAAATTACATCCGAATAACATAAAAATAAAAGACAACCAACTGATCAAACTGGGTAGAAAATAGAGACGTGAGTGTTGTGGTTACCGCAGGTGAAACAAAAATGTGAACAAAAGTACCACGCCTGCGCAACTCACCGCTCGAGAACCAAAAAAAAAAACTTTGGTAAACAATGTCCTGGTATTTGAAAATTAATGGATAATTCTATTTTGGACAGGATAATGAACACTTGATAAATGAAACAAATTATCTGTGTAATTTATCATTGTTTCCCCATTAATAAAAAGTACACGTCACATATAATGCCCAGAAAGATGGATTTTTAAATTATTCTCGAGTCCCGCGTTCACAAACATCATCATACTAGGAAAAGTGAGACGCTTCCATGACCAACTCCTAACATTTTGACGACATTTATACGTTACTTAACTGAGCCTCTCGTCGATGTGTTTACGAAGGAGAGTTTGAAAGGTTACCAGTAAGTTGACGCTAATAGACTCATACCAGTTGTACAGTTAAGTTGATCATCGTCCATTTGAAGACGCTTATGATAATCCACCTAAATTCAGTTGCTCCCGTTTCATTATACACTATTTGTTTTTGTCTGTAAATCCTGAAGGTAAACTAGATACTTATTAAAGGTGATATTTATCCTCAACAAATATCCAAGTCGAACCGGACCCTAACGTTTATGTGGTGTAGTGGGCAAGACTCGAGAAACATATTAATTACTACAGTATTATCAAGGTTCCTGAACACTATAAATAATTACTTTAACACCTGTATTTGCTCATTCAGAAAAGATGTGTTCAAATTATTACTGATATTAGTGTTTACCTGAAAGATGTTAATTACTTGTTTTCGTTAAGGCATTGTTAAGATATTTTATAGTTTACGTAAATTATAGAATTACATTTTAAAACATTATGCATATACATAATAAGCAGTACATATTCCACGCTAAATAATCTTCGAGTTAAATACCAGTTTATACCGAAATACAGTTACTGTTTCCACTTTCTCATTTTTACGAGCGTAAGTAAATAAGGTACACTTCTTGATTCTTCCCAATGCTAAGGTGTGACGAGCATATAAAACTACTAGCATTTGGGAAAAGCCTTCACCCAGCAGAGAATTTACAAAGGGTGACGATGGAGCAATAGAAATGGCCTTTATCCAACAGTAGACTGACACAGGCTGCTGCTGCTACTGATGATGAGGGCAATATATCGAGAACTCATCCTAGCCTGAAATGACTAGGCTTCCGGCTAGCCATAGGAAGCCTAGTTCCATCAAGTCTGGCTCGCTTGCCTCCAGATTATTCATTATCACTATTTATCATGTTTGGGGGAAATGGACTGTTATTCACTATCTATTTATTTATCTATGTACCTTATTTTTATCCACAGTTGGTTGTGAGGGAGAATTGTGAGTATGAATTGAGGAAAGATTATGAGTACGGGGGGAGGAGATGAATGGTTAGGAGTACGGCTTGTGAGTCAGCAGGAAGAGGCAGGTGGGCGTGTGAGCAGGACAGGTGTGGTGCAATTATCGGCTCCTCGGAGGTTTGCGAATCTTATTGAAGGATGTGTGTGTGGGGGGGGGGGATATTTTCCCCTCCCCACGTCCCTTTCCAACTGTAATTCTCCTCCAAGTGACTATGTACAGTAGATAATTCCTCTAACTGGTCACTCTAAGTTACGACACAATGATGACAAATATGGTACCATGATTGCATTGAGACTACACTACTCCCCCCATCCCCTTCACTCTCTATTCACCCCTTACCCTCCCTCACCCCTACCTTCCCTCACCCCCTCCACCCCTCACATGATGCAAACTTTCACTAAAAAGACCCCAGCAAGGTCAACCAGTAGTGAGCTGACGTGTGACTGGTATACCCAACCACCTGCGTACCAGACACACAAACACACACACAATGGGAGTAACATACACACGTCATACATACATAGAAACAGATAGACACACGTCCACACAGACATAAAACAGCATTAGGAAGCATTCATACAATCGCAGCCTGAGACAAAGAACAGGACATTACTGGCATACACCCTGATAATACAGCTATCAAACAATAAGCCTCACTGATAAGACAAAGTTCGTGTGGAGGCGTGACAATCATTCACCTTAAAAATAAACAAATAAAGAGCGGAAGCCGGGATGAATCACCTTAAGATTAGATAAACTTAAGACTACGTGGGGGTTATTATTATTATTATTATTATTATTATTATTATTATTATTATTATTATCATTATTATTATTATTATTACATTTTCGCCCCCCAGGCCCCGATGTGGGTCAGTGACTTGTGCCTGGGTGGGCTAATTCCCGTAAACAAAAAGTAAGCCAGGGTGTTCAATGTTCAGGTAATATCAAAACCATTACCTCTGTTACGGAACGCGTGTATGACTTTACCCATATTTCTCTTTTAAACTTAATAATTACCTTTTTATTGCAATATCTACAGTAGTATAATAACAAACTGGGCCCATGAATATCACAAGCTGTGTTATTGAGGTCATGATCCTACGCCTGGCAGCGAATATAATTATAATAATACATATATGAAAAATAAATAACACGGAAAAATCTGATCAGTTAATTATAATATTTAGGCTGAGGAACGCTACCCAAAATTAACTAGAATATATGCAATAAAAGTGTCCGAAGGGGTTCACTAATATCCAAGTAAATATTATCACAGTTAAGTTTTGTTAAGGAGACGTGACAGTATGCATGCCAACTTTATTTTATTTGGTTGGCAATTGCCCCTCCCTCCCTCCTTCCCCTCACACACACACGAATGCAAAACACGTCAAAAATACAAATATTATATATTACTGTATTACGACCTACATTTGACCACCGAAGGTTGTCTGTGGCGACGCAACGTTGTGTGTGTGTTTGTATGGAGAATACCAATATCCAGATGTCTACAGAATATCAATTGTCCTAATCCTCGCTTTAGTAACTCAGGATAAAAACAATGGAAGCTACTCTTTATCAAACTCAACTGAGATCTACATGTCACATCCGGTAAAAAAATAAAAAATAAAAATCCATACAAACCATGAACAGATTTACGGCAGGAGGGGAGGATGTACGTGTGTTTGGTCATCAATGGAGGGGAACAGCGTATCCACCTCCTCCCAGCCGACACGTATCTCCTAGCATTGTATTTGCCGAATACACTGGACTATCACAACATTGTTGGCGTTGTGTTTTTTCTTCTCAGATATAAGCAATAATTACTAATATATTCACTCACAGACCGAAGAAACCAATCGTCAGCATATTTGGCGTATCGTTAATTACATGTGGTATTCCTTACACTCGCCCCTCACCCTGTGACCCTGATTTACGCAACAACACTCGTGGGTGCTGAGGTGTTAACAGGTTCGTTTAGGTAACGGTAACGTAACTCTTAACATGAATTTAAAATTAATCGTTATGTGAGGAAACGATTGTAATTCAAGTTAAGGAAGCTATGAGGGTTATCAGTACAGAGAGGTCTGAGAAACTTTAAATCTGGATGGGGAATAAACTTTAAAGCTGGGCTGGGAATATCTTATCCTGTTGTGAAATCTTGGAATAACCTGCCAGAGAATGTTGTGACAGCACTAACTGTGAGCTGCTCTAAGTCTAGACTTGACCAACACTGGCACATGCCCAAGTATGTGCATACAAAGTCCTGTACATGCCAACAGTGTGTCAAAGAGAACTGACCCATGTCCGCCCGGCTAGGAAACTGACAAGTGTTGAACTTGAAGAGGATAAAGTTGTCTCCTTTTTTTCCCGATATATGAATCCTGACATACATAAGGTACATGAGAACAATAGGTATGGAGTTCTCACACATGTGGCAGGTATGGTCGAGGGGCAGTGTGCGTGAGATGGTGACACGTTATCACTGGCTGGGAGGGAGACAACCATGCGTGGTGGCCGCCAAGCCTCAACGCCCTGATAACCCGCCCCATAAAGCGATACCTCCCAAGTAATTGGGGAAGTGACATCAGATAAGTGCCACATCACAGGAAGCTGGCATCAATACCGACATACTTTAATAACATACTACCACACTATTAATTCATATTGAGTTGAAACTTGGACATAAATGGGGTGGATCCAAGATTTCACCATAAAAGCTACTGAGCATACAATCTATACCGTAACTAACATCAATATAATGTTTTTTCCTAATCAAAAGAAAAAATTAGTTCACCTGATGATTAGCCCCCAGCTTAATTTACCTGTGGAAGTTTGGTTAGGTTTAAGTTAGAAAGAGGAAGGCCAGGTTAGATTAAGGTATGTTATGTTAGATAAAAGTAGGTTAAGTTAGAATAGGGTAGGTCAGCCTAACTTTGTCAGGTTAGATTAGGATAGGTCAAGTTTGATTAGGATAGGTTATGTTATATTAGGGTAAGTCAGGTTAGATTAGGGTAATTTAAGTTAGATTAGGGTAACTTAAGTTAGGATGGGGTAAAACAAGTTAGAATGGGGGCAAGTCGGGTTAGATTGGGTTAAGTCAAGTTAGATTAGGGTAGATGTGATATATTTGATTAGCAAGCATTAGGATGGCCAATCTTAGGTAAAATACTGGGGACTAATCTTCAAGTGATCTAAAAACTATAGGAAAGGATAGGTTAGGTTAGGTGAGGACCCATAGACAGACCATTTACATATCAACCTACAATGTTAACCACACCTGCCTCGTCTGTGTGGCTTCATACATGAGAAAGATATTACGACAAAGATAATAATTAAACCTGATATGCAAACTCCAGCATCTAACCTTATCATCTTGGATATATATATATAACCACAAGGAAAGAAGCAAAGTTCCCTCCAGCATCTGAGTACCTAGATATCAGTGATTTACTTGCATAAATTGGATATATATGTTCACTACTACCATTATGTGGATATGAACTGAATGTAAACAATGCAGCTGACACCTACCGTTGCATTAGTGGATGTAGACATTGTGAAATATAAACGGTACCTTCGTGATTTCAATATACCGTACAGGTTTCAACGTATCCGAGGTCTTTCATTAAAATGCATTAGGGATTACAGATGCATTGGGGGATTATTGTACATACATTGTGCATTGGGGATTCCACTCAGTGTATGTTATGAATGATGCTCCATAATACATCATAGATACTATATTATCGATTATATTTATTACAGTACTGTTTATGTTATGGAGCATAATCATTATACCGTATATTATTTTTATAATTAAATGAAGCTATGAATTATAATCACAGTACTGTATAATTGCACAATAAATACTAATTATTATAGAAAAACAATTATATATTAACTAGAGACTACAGTATAATCAAAATGTTATGGATGCTCATCATTATATTTTAGAAATCTTAATCATCAAATGTTAATGATTCCAAATATTACAGAGTTCTGACAGCAAAATCCAAACACCATCTATACCTAACCTTTAAATAAATCACTCTAACACTAACTTACTCTAAAAAAACCTAACATTAACCTAACTCTAGCTTCACACTAACCTTACCCCCAAGATAGCATTAGGGTAATTACCGGTAATCATCAGGTGAAATAAGCTAGAGGGCTAAACTTCAGGTAATCTAAATTATGCTTTCTAGAGTTAATAATGATTCAGTACTATATTTATTTCATGACAAGCATTGAGAAAATAATGGAACTGCTAAGGAGATTTTATATATATGCATTTATGGTCAGATTCTATGATAATATCAAGCGTTGTATAGTTTTTTCTGCAATAAAAATTGAAAAGGTTAAGGAGACGGTTGCACTTTATTTCCTGATAATTCTGAATGAGAGGTTTATAAACTTATTTGATTAATTCATAAAATGCAAATTTGATGGAAGAGTGAATAAATTACATGGATAAACTTACAAAAATAATGTTGAAAGGTTAGGTTAGGTTAATTTAAGTTAGGTTAGGGGTAAAGATTCGTTTTATGCCATAACAGGAATTCAATAACCTAAATAAATTCTTTAGTATTAACCTTCCTCCCCCTTAGCCTATTTCACCTTGAGATTAACACACCCCAATGTTAACATAATCTAACCTACCTTCAGGAAACCTAACCTGAACCACTCACAGGAAACAGTAAATTTTTTTAAACCCTATTAGAAGTTGACCTTGGTAGCCTCCTGCTTGATACTGGGTAATTATATTTAAATCCAGTTAATCTTGAACTACAACGACCAATAGGTTATAATAGTAGACACCATCAATCAGTGACGAATACAATGATCATAAATTATACACATAAACATGAGCTGACAGTTGACACACACACACACTTGGCCCTTCAAACATCTTCCTGTAATTTACCTCATTTAACAGATTAATATTCAATAAAAACAACATAAATGTATCCCCAGACTTACCTTTGAGTATTATAATATTGACAATAATAGCAGGGAGGTATGGAAGGCTTGTAATGGACGGAAACAGTTGCACTTCAGGTAACTCGTATACTAATGAACAGGTGAGTAAACAATAAGTGACACCAGTGATTCACAATAAGGGATCCGATCTTAAGTTATTGTCTACAGTGAAATAATTATGTAGTTATTTCTATGCTATATTTGAAAGAGAGTATAATTATTATTTATTGGTGTGAAATAATATAAATTTTATATATATTTAATAGTTTTAGTTTTAGTTAATACTCTTATCTTGTGTATATATAAAGGTTTAGAATATAAGATCCAATAGTTTATGCTTAACCTTATGGTCCATGAGGGAGGCATCACTGTAAACAATGGCTGAGGTGAACTACAACAACATTGGTGAAGAACTCGAAAAACAAGAGTTAGATGTAAGTGATTTATATCTAACATGATATATGATGGTGTATGACCCACTGTGGTGATATTGTTTGAAGAAATAAACTTAATGAATAGTTTGATAGAGAGAGGAAGGTTGATTGGAGATTTGTTTCAGCTTTACGTCTTTCTGGTTCACCAAAAATACGAAAACTATCTAGAATGATTTATATAAGTGGAATAAATCGATATAGCGTTAGTTAACCTCTGTGTATGTATTACTGACTTGAAATTAATCTTACACAATTATGGAATATTAGGGTTGTTTTTATTTAACATAAGAATAGAGGAAACTGCAACGGATCTGTTGGCCCATACTAGGCAGCCCCATTTACACCCAATACCTATCATTCGTATATCCGCCTAACCTATATTTGAAGCTATCCAGCGTGTTTGAGTAACTTGTTCCACTACTTTATTTCCATACCAGCGATTACCCATCTCGAGCGTAAGTCCAAATTTGTCTAATATAAAACACTAATACTGAAAACAATGTCTATTACTTGTATTTTCTCTTACAGGCTCCTAATGGGGTTCCTCCAGCACATGTATACGAACAGCTTCTCACAATCTATCTGCTACAGAATGATTTGTAAGTCCACTTGGCACTAATAAATGCTTATCTGGTTGGCCAAAGCAAAAAGGAACAGCTATCATAACCCCAAATAAGAAAATAAGTTGAATTACTGAATTATTTTAATTTCGGGGATTTGTCGAAGAGTTGTTAAAGTGACGATAAGTCCCTTGGTCAGTCAGTAGAAATTCTTTATGTCAGTTGATCAAATTGTCATAGGTATTATCATTATAATTCCTTTAGTCCCTTTACCAGTCTGTATTAATCTTCTAGAACTGGAGCCAAATTCCTGTGGAAGCGTATCCCGTCCAGTACTAAGAGCGCCACGCCAGAACTAGCCCGGATATGGCAAGTTGGTCAGCATCTATGGCAGCGTGACCTACCTGCTGTTTATGCCGCCCTAAAACGAGAATGGTCGCCTACGGTCAAGGATATCATGAAAGCTGTGCAAGGTAGGATTTTTTTTTCCAGTATATAGAAAGAGAATATTTACTTGTTTGGGATTGACAAGCTTGTTGAATTGTCAGACCACAAGTTTATTTTTAACGAGCCAATTAAACTGTGACTTACAGTTGCTCAAACATTATACCAATTCAGGATTCCTTGTTCCTCAGATGCATAATATTTACAAACGTTGAAGATTTATAGAAAGTAAAAGGCAGAGAGAGACTTTTGGCAGATAGATTTTCAGTAAAATCATCATACAGTACTAGTTTACATTGATTTAAAACTTACAGTATAGACAATGAAGGTATACATTACACATAGACAGATTTTAATAAAGGTTATCATGATATATTTCAGATCACGTGCGTCAGAGAGCGGTTGAACTTGTCGGGCGAGCATACACGTCCATCAGCGCTGACGACTTTGCTCAGTTGGTCGGTATGAGTGTCGACGAGGCAGTGGTAGCGGCGAAAGGACACGGCTGGGGATACGACGAGCCCACACGTATGATCCTGCCCATGCCACAAGCCCCACAGCCTCACACCCCTACGCCTTCAGAAGAACAACTACGCAGACTCGCAGATTACGTTTCCTTCCTGGAAAATTAACTTATAAATAAAGGATTAAAAACATTGCTTTATTGAATTCTTTTGTTATTTATCGTCACATTTTGATATAATGTTTTGCCAAAGAATTATATTATCCAATAGTACACTGATCACCGATTAATGTTTTGTATCTCATTCCTTGATTATGTTTTTCTTGTTTGCAATAAACAGCTGTGTAACATTAAAGAATTAAATTTACGAGATTTAAATACCAGATTGTTGATGAATATGTTTGTGCTTTGCCTTCAAGTTTTTTTCTTCAGTGTGATATACAGTGCACTAGAAAGTTCTTTTTAATGTACAAATAAGATGAGCCATTTTCTTATTTAACCAACTGATAAAATTGACCAGCACAGCAATCACTGAGCTGGTTAAAATAGTTCCTGGGAAGAGAACTTATCTGTTAACTGATACAACACCTTCAGCTTAATTTAAAGATTTAGCATAAATGATTCATTACTTCATTCATATTTGCTATACGTTGTCCTGTTGAAGATTTATAGTAATGTTACCCCCCCCTGCTAACTAAACATGTACTGTACTCAGCTACTACTCACAATATTGAATTTAATCGTGAACTTTGAATTCATTACCAGTTTAATGTCGAGTTCTGAAGTGTTTATAGTATATCTGATAAACAAGCCATTTTATAATTAAAGAGGAATTGGCACATTAAGAGATATCAAGGAAAATACTGTTACTGTAAATAAACTTATCTGAATTAAACATAGAAAGTATTGGAGATTAAATTATTTTTATCCTATTGTGTTTTTTGGGGGAATGTGAACTCGATAAAGATATATGGTTAGGAGAGTGAATAAAATTGTATATCTTTATTATCCCAAATTTAGTTAAATTTTATTAATGCAGACTCCTTTATCCACACAATTGCCAGTACTCTACTGTAGTAACTTTATACAGGTAGTTTAAGATGCCATCACTTGGCAATTAAACTTAAAGTTACAGGTGAAAATTACAAATTGCCAGTCCAGTATTAATATGACATCCCACCTGCTTACTGCAACTGAGAATAATGTCATATACTGAACCTTCACACTGAGGGGGGGTCTGATAAACTGAATCTTGATATTAACAGCCGATAATAGCTACTTAACCCCTTGTGTACAGTGTAATAACGTCTGGCATTAGCCGAATAACATATTTAAATTGGCGTCCCAGTAGTGAAGGGGCTAAATGTAGGCCTACAAGTTGCTGTGATATCAAACTAGGCATTTCCTTCACAGACTTGGCAAGGTACCATGAAACACTGTCAGTGCTGTCATTATTTTTATTTCCCCCAACACTTGCATTGCTCTAGAACTACAGTTACAGGTTGAAAAGATTAAAATATGTGTGACTTAAAAAGAAATTACACATATACTGAGTAACACTTTTGATTACTGATATTACAGTTTGGTATAGCAACTAAAGGTATATGGTATCTTCCTAATATGCAGACTTATATACTTAAACTTTCATCCGTTTTACGTCTCTTGTGTACTGTAGTCTGTTAAGTGACGGAACACTTTATTCGTAAATGTTTTTGTCATTCAATTTTATTCTGAGAATCATCAGAATATCACTAATAGTTTGTAATATTTTCTAGAGTTTAGTCATAATATTAATGACTATAATTTACATTGTTGCATCCCATGTTAATATGTAGCGGTAAAAAGACTTTTGAATCTCACGGAAAACAGATCCAGTGTTGAATAAAATCGTCTGATATTAGCAAAAATAAATAAATTAAAGTTGGCGTCCCCATAGTGAAGGTGTTAGAGGAGATAGTCTACTAATCTACAAGTAAGGATTCCCTACTTCGCTCCCATATGCACAGAAATGGAATGCATGGAACATGAAATGCCGTGTTTGGTAGTATATCACACTGGATAACACCCTTCTCACATCCATCCTGGACCGGTGATTGAACCCAGGACACTCTAGTGAGAGATACGCACATTACCGCTTTACAGCATCACCAATTTCCAAAAAGACGCTTGAACTCTGATCAGCGAACTTTGTGTATGTCTGTACTCATTATTAGGGGATTTGGCCTACCTAGTGTTAGGTTGGGTTGGTTAAGTTAGGTGATGTGTGGAGAATTTTCAAAATAATTTTTCTTTATAATAAATACAAAACAAAATGGTATAGAGTTGCTGCATTTCATATACTGTACTGTACTGTACATACTGTTTATATAAGAAATAAGAGATGCATCATTTTCTTTGGACCACCTGCAGATTAACACCCCTAGTTTATTAATCAACAGGTTGAAATTTTCACCTGTTGATTAACCATCCGAGTGCTACCTGGAGGGGGTGTAGGGCGAGATGGTTAATCTTTAGGTGAAATAAGCTCAGCAGTTAATCTTCCAGTGATGCTTTTCTTCTTCTATCTCTATTGCTGTGTGAGTTTTGGTACTCTACAGACAAAGTATTGAAAACTAAAGACTAATATCACTTGAAACAAAAAGTAAATTAATTCTCACAATATGTTTTATCATTCACTTTATATGGATAAAACTGGAGTGACATATTGGACTCATTATTCATTTATACATTTGATATCAAGTCACTCAACAAACAAATACTTCTGTGGGGTGTCATTCATCAACTCAAGTCATCATTTGACAATACATTTTTCGCATCAAACCTAACCTTATTTTGGCTTCATTCACAGTGTAAAGTGGTAGAATTCTTGAGTTCTCTGTCTAATAACTTCTTTGCTTATTCCTAGCAGTGATGTGATCTGTGTTACAAAGCCTGTTTTACCATTTCCAGTTTTCATGCCTTCTTTTATGGCAAACATTCACAATTCTGGACTAAGCTGGGGAAAGTCTCAACTGAAAATGTAAATTACTGTATTTCAGAACTGGATAGGGGGTTCCCACACCTCAAAACTTATTTTCTTTGATTTACCAGTACACAAGACTACTGTAATCATCTTGACATTGCCCCTTCACAAGCAACTAGCCAATGCCCTACTCTCTACAATATTAAAACACAAAATAATGTTACAAATATATAAAAATCCAATACACTAACCTTAATATTTTCCCCAAAGTTGAGGCAAGAGTGTTTAGTGGCGATGATGAATACAAGTCAAATATTAACTCCTCACTCAGCTGTTACATTATTTCCACCTTTTCTGAGATGTTTCCTGCTAGAACCAAACATACAACCATCACCTGAAGCTATTACTAAAGAACTAAAATGACTCACAAAACTAAATATAAAGGGAACACTAATATACGGCTGAGCAGAGTTGACACAAGGATCAAGAGGCGACACATAAAGCATTCACAAAGGACTAAGGAACATGGAGAGCTGGAGCTAATTATCACCATCATCAAGTAAGGGTGGTGGAGGTAAACAGTGGTGCCCCTTATCCATCTATATTAATTTCATTCCTATTCAGTAACTTTAGACAGGCTTATGGATTGAAACAAAACTTAATATCCAGCTTTATGTCAAACACTTAACCTTCCATACTAGTTAATCTGACACACAACTTTCTAAACTTACTACTTTCTGACATTACCTGACACACTATAGCTCCTTCCTTCTTACACACTCACATTGCCTTAAATCCTATCCTGTCACTCTCATTATTGGTCCATTATTTCTTGTATTTGTAGTCATTTTGCAAAACTTTATTCATCTTTATTTTTTCAATTTAATTCCACTCTGGTAATCTCTTATACATACTGTATACCTCATCTCTATTTTCTTCTATGTACAGTACTAGACAGTTTCTATGGTTAAAAGGTGTTTATTTTCTTTATTTTTGTAATTTTTTCTCCTCACAAGGTTACTCACTCATTCATCCACAATTGTAGTTGGGTTAAACTCACCTTCTGAAGGTTCACACTGCTTGCTTTACTCTTTGTTGAATGGATGACTTATTGAACAAGAAAAACAATGGCTACAACTTCCTAACCCCTTAAGTACGGAGTCCTCTCTGTGCTGAATAAAATTATCTGGTATTAGTCAAATAGAATATTAAAAGTGTCATCCCCACAGGGTCCTATCTAAGCTGAATAAAATCATCTGGTGTCCCCAAAATTCCCATAGTCAAGAGGTTAGTGGAGATAGATAGTCTACTAACCCTTTGTGTACAGGGTTAGAAGCAGACAAAATAAAAAGTGAAAGAAGAGTCAGGCAATGAAGACACTGAGAGACTCGAAATGACAAGGTGAGGGTTGCTGAAGAGGTGAGAGGGGGTGCAAGTTGCAGTGTGTATACAGAAAAAAAGAGACCATAGCTTAAGTGACCTTTGAGAAGATATATGCTGGTGCTGGGTGACATTGGTTTGTGCGTAGTGGTAAGGAAAAACTAGACAATAGGAGTGAATGGAAGGGAAATGTGTGTGTTTGTGTGTGCATGGGTGTGTGTGTGTACAGTATTTCCTTGTTTCCAGCCATCCTGAACTTAGCAGGAAGAGGCATATAAGAGACACATACAAACATGCACCCAAGTTTTCAAACCATTGATTCATTTCACCAAGTTATAAGTTTCCCCTCCTGAAGTCACATTTCTGATGGTTAAGTAACTATCACACTTTCATTATCATTCTCTTATTACTATTGCATGGTAAGTACAGCTGCATACTGTCATATGCAGTTTATAATAATTACATTTTCCTATTAATATTACACTTAAAACAGTTCCCTATTAATATTACATTTATATTAATAACAACAATCAATAACAGTTTTTTCTTTCTTTTTTTTCAGTCAATTGTCAAAGTTCACAAGTCTCAAAAATTACACCAATAAGTAGTGAGCAAATAGACCAATAAATACTTGTATAATTTTTCTTATCTCTTACTATTGGTGGAGGAGTCCTGATGACAATTTTTTCACCCAACAAAAAACAAATTAATAAAAGCAGACACATCTCATTATCATCATTTGAATCACAGAAGACAAGACAATATTCTACCTGTCTGACACTAAAGTTAACATGAATGAGAAACAGTTCTTCTTCTTCAAGTGTCATACAAGTAAACAAATACAATGAACTTACATATTTACAGAGGAAAAGTTGTATCGCCCCCATTTACCAAATATTCATAAAACAAAATCTATTATAATCTCGTGTATATGGGAAATATTTGGTTTGCTCTTTCAAAATATTACACTAAGACTATATAGGTACTTACATCTTAGCAGAAACTTGTCGACTTACAAATTGCACTATTCAGTTCTCGGTGAATCAGCGTACAGTACAAATATGACTTCAGACTAAAAAATCACGAAATCGAATCTTTATGGAGGCTTCACGACGTGTTAGTGCTATTATTATTATTATTATAAAAAACAACTCGGGTTCCTCAAGTTTCTCCTTTAAGCTCGTCTCCTGAATAAGAACATCTGAATTCACGTCAGATTTGTACATCGGTGGCGTGTGTTAGCTGTGTTAAAAGCTGCCCTCATGAAATGTTTTTCTATTGTTTTCTTATCGTTGTGATGTTTTCTGAGAGTACCAAGAGGAGGCGACTGTTGTGTCATAGATAAATTATCATCCATAACTTAAAATGCATCTAGTATACTCACGATGATGCCCGAACAACACTAAAATATTAAAGAGCAACACTATACAGTTCCACTCAACTTGGGGGGGTTAAACTACACAAATATACAATTTTGTACACTATCATATACCTCACAGCTCTTTTTTTTTTTTTACCTTCATTGCAAGACCCCCAACAAGGAAAGTGAAAATACAATCGGTTTTACTCTACACTAGAAGTGAGAAGATTTACAGAACAGTTACAGTAAAACCCCCAACTGAACGGCCAACGAATCCTTTTTTTTTTTATCTGACGAAACCAACGACTTCCAGAGTGAAACACTGCCATGGAAAAGAGAGTACATTAATGTAAGCTTGAATGAGGACAAGTTATTCCATCTTTATTATGTACATGTATATAGTAACTTTATCATTATTTAACAGGTAAATATATCATCAGGCTTATCTGCCAGGGTTTGTCACAGATGTCTGGTTCAGGTAGAGTTATAGTATAATATTATTAAGTGAACCTGATGATACAGCCAAACCAGAAGGATCCATAAATGCTACAGTTCTTAAGTAATGAGATAAAGTGCGGGAATTGTCAGGTCAAATTTTTGCTAATCGGAACATCCAGGGCATTTACTACAGCGGATGAGAATTAATTTACTACAGCGGATGAGAACAAATTTACTACAGTGGATGAGAACTAATTTACTACAGTGGATGAAAACTAATTTACTACAGTAGATGAGAACTAATTTACTACAACGGATGAGAACTAATTTACTACAACGGATGAGAACTAATTTACTACAGCGGATGAGAACTAATTGACTACAGCAGATTAGAACTAATTTACTGCAGCGGATGAGAACTAATTTACTGCAGCGGATGAGAACTAATTTACTGCAGCGGATGAGAACTAATTTACTACAGCAATGAAAACTAACTTACTATAGTAGTGAATTCCCAAATAAATTAGTTTGTTTTGATTTTAACTTGTCAATAGATAAACACTCAGCCTATTATACTCTCGCAGGCTAGATAATGTGGTTATCTGTAGCGCCTCTCAATACACTCTAAGATCAACCAATGTGACTGATCTGAAAAAGCACAGTAGATTTTAAACAGTTTTCACAATCATAGAACAAGTATTGTACAGTATAGTCTAATGCAGTTTTTTATTCTCAACTTTTAATACTACATAAAAAATTCTGCTTAGGAGATGAAGTAAATGGTTCTCTTGGGGGTCTTGATGTGAAAGAGGAATACTGTACTTGTAGAATACATCTGGTTAGGTTAGGTTAGGTTAGTTTAGTTTAGGTTAGGTTAGTTTAGCTTAAGTTAGGTTAAGTTTAGTCCTTGGTTCTGGACGTCCTCTATCATGGCCGAGAAGAGTTTGTAAAGGGTGTAATACCACGAGGTGTCCCTGAATACGAAAACAATTACATTCCGAGCTATAGGTGCACTCCGATGCTTGTTTATAGTCTGTCGTCCATATTGCTGCCCACATGACCTAACAAAAAGTCCAAAGATTCTGATGTAATGAGTATGTCCTATTGGTGACAGTGTCGTTGTACAGTGGAAAAAGATAATGTATTTGCCTAATGATTCCTTCTTAATGTATTCAATGTACTGTATAGTTATTGTCATGTCTCCACCCTGTTATGTTTTGATTATTTCTGTTGTTTCAACCTTTAACAACGCTGGCCAAAGACTAAGCTTATTTAGATCATAATGTACCCTACAAAATATTTAAAAAGACATTTAAAAACATTTCATGACAAGGTGTCTGTTGTGTAATTGGCAAAGTTCTTTTCAGATAAGATAAGAAGTTCCATGTGTTGGCCTCTCTCTCTCTCTCTTCCCCAAGCAGCACCTTATCCCTTCTCATCATTCTGATTGGCTGATGACTCTGCCACCATGTTCCTCCTCATCATCACACTTATATTGTACTTGAAAAGATTCCCTTTAATGTAAATATCAAATCTAAAAATCAGTCTCACAAAATAAAGACAAACTTACATTTAAATAATATAGTCTCAATACCCAACAGCATCCTCTTTCCTACATGTAACTGAAGAAGATTCCAGAGGCGTTAAAACTGTCATTTTAATAATAGTTTTCATTTTTTACCGTGGGTCTGATTTGACTACGTTCAGATAATTCTCCTGTGGTTGGTACAGCTATATTAGTTGATATTAATGATGACACAACAGAATTATGCCGTGATGTGTGTTAATCCGAGACACATCAAGCGAGGCGGTGACTATAATGTCCGGAAACAAGGACCTCTTAAAATCAGAAAAATTCTTGTTTCCCCGATAGGCCACAGAAAGGCAACACCACCAAACACAACATACTGCTTATTTCCAAGGCATGAGTGTATCTAATGTGATGCAAATGAGACTTCACCGGGAAAAATAAACTGTAGAAATCCCCTCCTCAAACTTTAAAAAAATAAATAATTACTTCCCCACAACACCACAAGGGGGAAGGGGGGTAATACCCTCTAAAAAACAGTATACAGCCACTGCACAATACCAAGGCACATATGTTCTTTTGAAGCAAGGAAGTTGAAGCATTGTTGTGGTTTTGTTCAGAAACAAAGACCCCCTCAAATTATATGGTCATCGGGGCTCTGTGGCACGCTGTACAGTACTAAGGCGTGATTCAAAATCAAAAGTAAACCGAGTGGAAATGGACAGCCAAAAATAAGACATAAATAATATAAAATAAATAGGGCAAAACCATACGAGTTTATCGAAATCATATCTGTAATTGAGCATTATCACACAGGCTGAGGAAATAAGTCCTAGATGGCAATGTACTACTGTACTCAACTCCCAGTCAAGTTTACTGAGAAGAGACTTTCACACATTGTACTCAAACTACTACAGTACATCAGAATATAAACTTCAAAATTTCTAAAGTACTGAACAATAACTTTTTCCCTACAAATTTGTCATTAGTAAAAAGTGTCTAATTTCAACAACATAAAAAAATGATGAGGTTTATGCATACAAATTCACTATCATAGGATTTACCTTTTCAACCATGCCTTCCTCCTCCTCGCTGCCCCCACAAACACTATGTTAATTAGAGGGTTTACTGCATATATGAGAAAACGATAATGCCCAATTAATATTTAACTTTTCTTAAATCTCTATACTTATGTTAACAATTTGTCAATACTTAAATAAATTGAATTATTATATTATTATTTTCTAATCTTTGCACATAACTCCCACATGGTGTTCTGAGACAGACCTCACTGAAACACGTTACCATGGTTGTCCACATAAAAATCTAGGAACAATCTAATCACTTTTTACCATCTAGGAAAAAATAGGCTATAAGTAATATTCACTATCTGCGAGAAAGTCCATAGACGGTGATGTAACTGTCCGTAGTGCCAGCGGCCAGGAGGACTCTACGGGGATGAAACGCCAGGCAGGACACAGGAGCGATGCGCGTGCCCATGAATCCCTCGTGGTACTTGATGACGTTGACTGATGACCCACTCGCATGGTGGACGCCGATCACCTGATTAACCGACCCACTGTTGGGAGGAGAGAGCTTTGTTAACCAAGTGAGTATGGGGTCACCTCTCTACTGAATAAAATCGTCTTGCATTAACCAAATAAAACATCAAAAATTACATCCCCATAGATGAGATATGTGTTCTTAAGACAGTGGCTGAACAGTAGGGAAGTATTATTACTATTGATAGTCATGTTAATATGAAGGTTATTAAGTATAGCTAAATGTACAGAAGAAATATGGAATGAAATAACTCAATAAATCTATCTGTGCCTCTAACTGCACCTCTGAAGATCCAACTGTAAAGTTTGTGGTGGCAGACTTATCCCCCACCAGTCACAGGCCCAGTTTATGCTTTCCACCTGTACAGTATAAGGTAAATGGCATGCACACACACAAACTATCTTTGAACAGTCAACGTACGTGGCAAAGAGGTGAGCATTTGCATGTGTAGCCATAGCAGTCATCTCGTGATTGGGTGCACAGACTTGTACTGAGTTTGATTGTCGCATATCCCACAATCTGACCTCTCCTGAAACACTGTAAAAGAAAATATATCATCATAACTCTAACTTTCCAAAATAAAGCTACATTTCAGGGCAAAATGCATGTATGTTGCTTATTATGTAATAAACTCATTAAAAAACTATGTAAGTGCATAAACTATAGTTCAATGAAACTCAAAATGTAATTATGCTCCAATCCAAATGCTTAGAATTTAAGTTAAGTAACAGCCGTACTGGATTTAAGTATCTGATGGATCTCCTTGGTCTATTGCCGTACTGTTTACCATCGTTTGTATACCTGCACTGTCTTAGTGCATTGGAGATTGTGTCGCTGCAAGGTCTATACAAACTGTAAATCTGCATTGTCTATAAGTAAGCTGAATCGAATTTCTAAATTACCTATCTTCGAAAGTAAAAGTAAATGATCAATTTTGCTGGTGAATCTGGTGATGTATGGTTAGAGCCTTAAGCAATCAGTGTTTTATTGGTGGTACAACTATGGACTTACACTCCAGTGATAATCTTGGTGGTAGCTTGTGAAGCATTGAGTAGGTGGGTGCTTATGACCCAGGACGTGTGCTCGCGCCACTGACGGACAACAGCTCTGGTGCTTGTCAGGCGACGATCCAGCACTCGCACGTAACCATCTGAGAATCCAGCTACAATCCAAGGTCCTAAAAATTAAATAGTTCAATTAAAATAAAGTAAGATTAATGTCTGAAGGGATTATCCTGAACACAGAATTCTTTTTGAAATCAGGCAAGGGCTAGCTAGGGTTAATTCACTTTGAAAGAAAGGAATATTGAAATCCTGTTGATATGGAAATGCAAAAAAGGAAACTGGTTATTATGTAAATTCCTAATATTTTTCCCTTCATTCACTGCCAGTCATCCATCCTCTCCAAGACATCACCTCACACATCCCTGTTTCTTCACACTAGCCAGCATCACTCATTAGCAGTGTGTCCTTCCCCCCAATACCACTCACGAAGCTTTCTGCTCGTCCATACACATGGTGTCCATACCCCCTCACCTCCTGTGCAACCTTCACCCTTGTCTTGTTTAGCCTTGTTTTTTACACAATATATTTTGGCTATCAAGGATTTTTTTTAGTGCAATGATTATCGGAATGCAATGGCTCCAAATAATCTCACACACACACCTCTCTCTTTTTTACCTGCATGATGTGAATGAACTGCAGTAATCACAGTAGTGTTATCGCCACCCGTCGGTAACTCCATGGTGCGACGCTCGGCTTGCATGTCCCACACTCTTACAGTACGCGAGTCACCTCCTATAACGAGGGTCGCCGTGTCCTGTTCCCAGCTCATCAACAACCCAGCACCTGGTCACAGAGTATGGATGAGTACATGGCCACATACAGGTGCCTTACACAACATGATTTCGAACGAATAATCATACAAAATTAAGTGTATATTGACTCCTGACATGTGATCACGTGATTTTCATATTGAGTCACAGAAGAGTTTTTGTGGTTCATCTATGGCTTAAATGAGTAAATTTGAGATTAATCTTTTAGGGCAAAGAATGTAATAAAATTCATGGCTTTAGATTAGTCATTTAGTTAGACAGCCATTCAAATTATGGGGCTAAAAGCAAGTTTATTTCACACTAGATATTTTCCATACTCTAACATGTATAAATTCAGGCTGGAAGGGTCTCATGGGTCTCATATTTATAAAGAAAAAGAAACATCAGCAGTCTCACCCCTTGTTGCTGGGTTAATATCACTGGTGGCCTGAAAAGCAGTTATTAGTGAGGGCGGGTCATGTGATTGTTGATGGGCATTCTGAAACACATCCCGCCACACACGCACGCTGCCGTCGTCACAAGCCGTAGCCACGAATGAAGACGGTGTCCCCGGATTAATGACAGCCAGCGACGAGATACAACTTGACCCGACGTTGTTGTTCCCCCAGTGACTGATCCGATGGCTGCGTTCCACATCCCAGATCCTGAAATAAGCGATTATTTAGTTCATTAAATATATTCCAAGAGTGAGAATTATATACTCCAAGGAATGACCAACCAAGCAGTGATACTTACGTGATGTTGGTCTTATCGGCAACGGTCAAGAGTGGTTCTAGCGGGTGGAAGAGTAACACAGCCGGCGGTCCTGGATTCCGATGTACAAACACCTGATCGTCTAACTTGTTTGTCCCTACACTGCGTCGTTCCTCCGATTCCGCAAGAAGCCGAGAACTTAGAGACCTGCGGAGAAAAGACACAATTAAAATCTCACGAGTACCATCAAATAACTAAACGACTGAAGATTTATACTCTAGTTCAGCGGTTCCCAAGCACGGGGTCGCAAGATGCACTATAAATGGTCACATAGAGGTCAAGGGATCACATGGGGTCGCACAGAGCTCATGGGGGTCACTGAAGTCACCTAACGCTATGCTACCTAACACCACAGTACCTATCTGAGTAGCTGTGAAGAGGCGACGAATTCGAAGTGAGCTCTTCGGTGGACTTCTGCCTGGGGAGGATGAAGGTCTTAGCGCTCCACTCAACAAACTCTGTGCTGACTATTGGTTTCATGAAGCCTATCTCCGTCTCATCAGACTGCTGGTGTATAGGAGAAGTAATAAATAGTTTTGGTGGATAGATAGATAGAGGTAAAGAGATAGTTACATATACAGTATTAAGATAGACAGATGTATAGACAGACAAAAAGAGGAATGGATAGGTAGGTAGATAGAGAGCATTAGATAGATTAGTGGATAGATGGATAGAAAGAGATATACTGTATAGATAAGATAAATAATTAAATAGTTATACATACTATAGATACAAAGATACATACATATCTAAACACTGTATATATTTCTTCAGAAAAATCACCATATAAATTAACAATGAGCCAGAATGTTTTTAACGGACAAACACAGTGGGAAAAAAATAAATAAAAATGAAGGAGAACTCACGTGATTTAAATGGTTTCTCGATCTCGCGCGCGTTGGCGTTGACGTTTCTATGGTGGACGGAGGTGATTCCCCACTGTCGAAGGGAACCAGGAATTAGACCGAGGGACGGATGAACGAGTGATGAACGACAGATGAACAAAAGAACTACGAGAAATGAACGACCGATGCATTTTGTTCAACTTCATTCAAACATCGCATCCAAAGAGCTAAACAAAATTGAACTACAACATTTATGATACTCTAACAATATTATCATAAATCATAAGAGGTCAATTTACAATGATAAACTCACACAATAAACATTGGCTTGTTGACTGGAGTTCCCGGGGCCGACTCCACCTTCTGCTCCACCAAGTCCCTCGAGCCTGTTCTTACCTGCAAAACGAGACAGATAATTTATTTTTGTTTACCTCCAGAATGTTGTGGGAGTTTAGGGGATAGAACTACTGTTGAGAGATGTTAAGGTGTGTGAAATGACATGAAACAGAGATATACCCTTGAGTGTTCACCCCTCCCACTGAACCATGAACCCTAAGATTCATACTCATGAACCCAAAGCAGCAGACTGATACATTATTCTGTCCATAAAGGCTTCAGATTCATGAGTCTGAATCTTGGGGGTCGTGGTTTAGGGGGAGGCGAACGGACTTTAGCAGTTGACTTGACTGAACTATTATAATGGAATCCAGAGAAAAGAGTAAATGAACAACAGAAAGGCAAAGAAATCTGCTTAATTTTGGTGCCATTGAAGGGATCAGATAACTTCTAATGCTAAAACTCCATAACCACAAACTTCTATTCCATAATATTCGAGATAACAAATAATAAATAGGCTCCTCACAGTTTCTATATTAAAATACAGTATTATTATAAACTCCATACCTTAATCTTCACATAATCCACAACCAACTTGGCCAACGTAGCAACTGCAGGGAAGGGGTCGTGCTCCAGGGCGATGAGTGTCTGCCAGAGCTTGCAGTACATTCCACTATACGAGAGGCTGCTCACCCCCGAGAAGACGCTGGCGGTTCCTATGATAAAAACACGGCGTATTAATAACATAACTCTGAAAGCACAGCCTAACTTTGTAATTAATAACATGTTATATCAAACCACTGTATTCAATAACACATACTGTATCAAACTCATGTATTGAATAACATGAATTCTTTTATTTTACTTATTTCTTAGAATTTTATGATAAGATGACTTAAGTGTACTGTATATGACCTTTAGAGGGAGGGAATTATCTGTGTGAAAAGAAAATATGTTATCATGCTAAATCGTGGCCCATGAAGCAAAGATCACAAGACTTATATGACCCATGATTCTACACACTGAAACCCCTATGACTCCAATGACTTGTTATTGAGCCTCGGACAGGGGATGGAGTCTTACCTAAGGATGATATAGAGTGAGTCGACACCGCTCTCTTCACACCCAGAGGCGACGTGTGCACGCATTCACTGAACGAGGAATCGGGACTCGACCCTAACCCCTGAACGGTAAAAAAAAAAAGAGAGGGAGAGACATTATTAAATTAATCCTCTTCCACAGATAGACTATAGGACATATTATCTACAAATGTAAGGTATATAAAAGCACAATATAGGCAAGACTGCAAAGAATGTACAGTACATACATTAAACCTAAATATAATGGACTTCTCTCTATATATAATCTGTTAGATGGAGGGTTCACATCAAATGGACCCTCGATATAATGGACTTTCACCCTATATAGTCCAATAAATAGAGGTTTCACTGTAATAGGAAACATAAGTACAGTTTGTATGTATTAAGATCTGAGAGAAAATGTAGTCAAGATCAGGGTAGTGGTGGCATCTGAAAGTCACAGAAGTAGATGAAGTTGAGTAGGAGGGAATTAAGAGTGTGAGGTGAGGTTACTGTAGGTGAGTTATGTCTTAAGGAGAGTACAGTTAAGTGAGGTGAGGTGTTGCTTAGAGAAGGGAAGAGGGAGAGGGAGGGCAAGAGGGAGGGGGAAGGGGAAGGTTAAGGTGTGAGATGTGGCTGGGGGAATTAATGATAGGGTCTGCTCAGGTCAGGTTGAGTTATGTTGCACCAAATTGGGTTGGGTTAGGTAAGTCAGGTTAAGTTAGGTTACATTATTTTGAATTCGGTTAAGTTTGGTTTAGATTTAGGGTAGGTCACGTTAGTCTAGGTTGGATTGGATTAGGTTACACTAGATTGGGTTAGGTTAAGTTAGGCTAGGCTAGGATAGGTCAGGTTAGATTAGAGGGGTTGGGTTACATTAGGTTAGGTTAAGTTAGACCATATACCGACAGCAAACTTTATCAAGACCCACCTGGCCCGGAGAGGTGATCTGTTTTGGGTTATGCCTTGTAAACACTCGAGTGAGGCTGTTCGAGGGGGACATTATGCTGTCGGTGGATGAGGCGAGAGACGAAGGCGAAAGATCCATCATCTCGTCGCGGAAATATTGACGAGCAACGGTTAAAAACGAACTCTCGTACATCTGTATGAGGTACTGCAGCGCCACCACCAGCTCCTGTTACAAACGATTAATAGATTAAAGTGGATAAAATCATAACTATTTAATTTCTCTATAATTCAAGACTAGTACCCCATCTGTCTTGGCCTATAATTCAAGGTTATTATCCACCTTCATATAATTCAAGGCTACGGTATTGTCTAACTGCTTACGTCTCAAGACTAATTTGTCTGTCAATCCATCACCATCAACACAATTTTTCCACCATTTTCCAAGCTTGTACAGAAAAGCTGACACTGTCTTCTCTATATTTTGTTTATATTATTTTCCCTATTACATTTTGTTTACTCTCTCCCCTATTATATTGTTTACGTCTTCACTATCTACCTTTAATAATTCCTCGTACCTGTCTCACAAGGGGGGAGCCATCGTGGGTGACGGTGTTGGCCAGGGTGATGGCGATGGTGTGGTCGATGGCCCGGGCATGGTCGGTCCTCTCCCGACTCACTAAACTGCTGACAAACGTTCCCAGAGAAAACACCGCAGCTCCGCGTACCTTACAGACGGAGAAGCTGATTAAAATACCTATGTAGACGACCTGATTATTATACCTACATAGAAAAACTGACTAATATACCTACGTAGACAAGCTGACTAATATACCTACATGTATAAACAGTATTGTAAGACTACAGTCACCTGCACTTATACCTGGTAGAGTGCTAGTGAGCTTAGTGAGATGTGGCAACTCTGTGTTTGTTTATCTAGTATCCTTAGTCTGGCGCCCATTGCAAGGTTCACTTAGGGCCCACTTGGGATCTAATAACAAAACTTCATTATGTGAAATAATGTCTAATCATTCTAGAATTCTATGTTAAATTTGAAAAGTAAACTAAAACAGAATAAAACTCTTGATATTCTATGTAATGAGATAAACAGAGAGAAAAATAAAGTCATCAGGTGGCCAACATTATCAAATCAAAATAAATTACTCTATACACAATATTAAGAAGATCTAACTCTACAAAAAGGTCACATAAAAGGCATGTACAGTATTTATGATACAGTGGTGGTAATTTTGTCACCAGTCTAGTGAATACTGAGCTATATCTATCACATTTAGATGATAATGTCTTCATTTTGGAGGTGATGAAGCCATGGTTATGTAAAGTTAGGTTTGGCTATGTAAGGTAAGGTTATGTTTGGTTTGGTTAGGTTATGTTAGGTTTGGTTAGGTTTATACTGTACTAAACCGGTGATGAAATATTCTACAACCTCATGACACATACCTCTGGCACAGGGTCACATAGTAGGGTGTACAACTTTTCATGAGCGTTATCCCTGGTTGCTGCCCAGCGAGCGTCGGGATGATGATGCCACGTCCGACCCAAGCATATCGTCGCCCACTGTCTCTGGGGGGGATGGAGGTCACCCAGGAGCTCTAGGCAAAGTGGCATAAGAGAGCCCTGGAGAGCAACACGCTGACCTTCGGGATGTTCCCACACAATGACACCCAAGACAAATGCTGCCATGGTGCGGTGTTCAGCCTGGTAACAGATCCGCAGAGAAGAATAGAAAACGTTGATTGTATTTTCTTAGAATGTTCATCTTGTCAGCATAAATCCATCACACACACAAACACACACACAGGAAAATACAAAACGTTGATTGCATTTTCCCAGGGAATAAAAAACACAGTGGAAAAATAAGAATCTGAATGGTAGTGATAGCTAGAGTGATGAGGAAATTACTTTGAGCTGGTTTATATACTGTACATGTGTGGAGGAGGCAAGATAATAACACAGGGAGCATAGAGATAATTGTGGATAGACGGAGAAAAAGCGAGGGAGTAGATTGAAGAAAGGAATCAGGGAAAAAAGACAATAATTAGTGTTTGAATAGAAAGAAGAAACACGATAAAGAGAATAATACAATAATAAAGAGAAAAAGGGAATAAATAAGGTAATAATAAAGCGTGAAGATAAAGAGAAGAAATAAAATATAGCGAATGAATCAGGGAAATAAGGCCATAACTCCATTTAGTGCTACAGCAGCCTTGACCCTCAACTGTCATGGCCGCCCCTACAGGAGGCAGCTGTTCGGGGTAATAAACCAACATCAGAGATAAGACAAGAAGATACAGATAAGACTAATAACATAAACTATTACTCAAGCCTCACGCAATTTGGTGATTAAAAAACAAAAGATACCATAGTCAACCTCCGCATCCATCTACCCAAACTGACTAAATGACCCAAGATAGATTAAAGAACCCGTTAATAGAAAGACTTACTGGCATGGAGGTATCGGACAGCACCTGCAGAAAGTACTTGTACCCATTTTCTCTGACTAGGTCTCCTTTACAACTCTGGGGGGTAGAGAGCATGTGTGTTAAATCCAAGACGATGCTACAGTTATCATTATTATTATTTCATTATTACTGTATCAATATATTTCTTTAAACAACACAGTGAAAACATATACTACATTCATCACAATGAAGGTAAAGAGAAAAGCTTAATCTAGCCATAAACCTCTGATGATGATGAAACGTACCGGGTCAACAGCGAGAATCTTGGCCCACAGGAATACCAAGAGAGGTCGTAGTTCCCTCGCCGTTGACTGGAGGAGCCGTAAGACATAAGGGAAGATGCCCACAGACAGCACCAGGTTGACTGCCCAAGGTCCAAGAGCAAGAAAGCTTCCTAACAGTTCCAGAGCTCGTGGACGGTGCACCTGACTCAGCAGAACCTACAGAGGAGAAGATAAAATATTAATGAACTGGAATAAAAGGGAAGGGGTCATCTTTACTAGTTAGGTTGTCACAGCTCAAGAACATCATTATATTCAGTAACATTTGCAGAGAACCACAAGCCTATATTCACACATATAGAGTGAGCTTTTACACGATAACCAGGAACTATTACTGGCTGTCAACAATGTTTTATCAGCCTGTTTTATATTCATTTCTAATTCATAAACATATGATTTTTCCCACCAACTCCTTCTGTTTTAGAACTTTTAAATAGCTAAAAGACATACAAATCATCATCACAGTTTGGATATATTTTGGCAGCCATTTTGTAGTTTTCTGTAATTCAATGCAGTAACCATGAGGACTCTGAATTTGACTGACACTGAGTAAAAGAATGAGGCTTTTTTTTGTACCATGGGGGTAACTCAGATAGATGTGTGGGACCTTGTTGTGGATTCTCTTACCTGGAGAACTATTGGCAACTGCTCAGGTGGGTGTCTTCGTTCATGTCCCAGATCAAGCCACACTTGGAAGGCAGTCAGCTGCTCCTCAAAGAATGGTGAATGGACGTGGGAGTAAAGATCATCCGTGCGGAGTGCTGTGGGCAGCTGGCCAAGGCAAATCTCAAGGGCTAAATCCCAAGCATCCCACATTGGATGCTGTGTGGAAATGAAAAATTAGAAACGATAAGTAAATAAATCCTGGAATAAAATCTAACCTCAATTTACTTTTTATGAGGAGAAAAATACAGGATGTCTCGGAAAAATGCATACACACCGCCTTACAGATTTTCGTGAGCATTGTGTGAAAGTTTGTTATACATTGTCCACACTTGTGAACATGCGAGGTCTCCTAAAGGTGAAAACAACGTTGCTGTTGTAATAAAAGCAATGATGAGAGGACCCCCAAAATTGGTAAGGCAGTGTTTATTCATTTTTTTTGACACTCTGTACACATTTCTGACACTATGCATGTTTCTGACACTATACATTTTTGACACGATATATATATATATTGTATATACAGTATATATGTTCCTGACTCTCTGTATACTTCACGTATGACACAAACCAACAAACCTGGTGAGTGGGAGGAAGAACAGGGGAAGACACGGGGGTGCAGTCATACGACCTCATTATGCGTTGAGCGAGGAGAAAGTTGCGAAACAGACTTGCGACTAATAGGTCTTGTCTAAACAATTTCTGAAACAAATCTAGAAAATAAAAAATCCAATTATAAAACAACAAAAGATTTCCCTACATGGCCTCTGAAACAAAACTATAAGAAAAATTAAGATCAAAATTATCTCTATGATGAAAAACAATAAAATGTCACCATCAACTGACGTAAATCATCGTAGAAACCAAATCACAAGTACAATGGATTATCATGGGACAGACACCTCAATACTACAAGGACAGGACAATCAATTGGGCCAAACACCTCAATCCTGAACTAACAAATGACACGACTCTCTTCCAGCGTTTTAGTAAATGGGAAATACTAAATCGGCCATAAGTTCCCATTACATATCTAAACAACTTCAATCACAGTAACACCAAGTTTTTAAGCTCGGCCCAAGACCCACCACCACCACCACTCATACTACTACTTCACCAACTCAAGGCATTCTCTAACAGCTCCCATAAATGTAAGAGAAGGAAACACTGCCCGAGTACACTCCCCAGAACCATCTACAGTAGAGTACAGCAGCCTACAGTCCAGCCTGGTGAATACAAAAATACATAGATTTAGGATTAGCCACATTTTCTTTAGTTCCCCCTATTGAACAATATAAATACCTGTAAATAAATAAATTAACATGGTTGGAAATTTTTGTATCAGTAGCCTGACCTGGAAGCAAATTAGTCTGGTTCTGAAAGGATCTATATTCTGCTATATTTCAGAGGTTGTATACTGCCCTAGTAATTTCCAGAGGTTCCATTCTGTTATATTTTGGAGGTTCTAGTGTGCTGCTATATTTCAGAGGTTCTATACTACCCTGTTAACTTTCCTGAACAAAGGATAACACACTCTAACATCCTAGACTTGTTATCTGTTTATCTACCATTAACCTAACATAGTATAATTAGTATCACTGACTAGCTGGAAGGTGGTTTAATTAACAAATGCTATATTGACTAAACTCAAAATCAAAATCTACAAATAATAACAAAAGATAAATGGAGGTTTCACATCCACCGGACCCTCGATATAATGGACTTTCCTCTCCATATAGTCCGTTAAATAAAGGTTTATAGCAGCTGTAGCCCCCAATAGTCACACATACCTCTGGGCAGGGTGTTCCATGCTATCGTGTCGGTGATGGCTGTAAATATCCAGTTGAGTTCGCCTAACAACGTCCGTCTGTCACTCAGCTGGCCTGGGATCCTATTAAAGAGGTAAGAGGTCAGTTAAGTGGGCTGTTGATCAACCTAGGCATGTGAATTTCTAAGCTGATGGTAAGGTGGGAGATGGTTCAGAGATGGAAATTTGTGAAGGTAGTGGTGGTGGTGAAGGTGGCAGTGATGATGATGATGGTAGTAATGGTGATGATGATGAGGACAATGATTGATACCAGTCTTTCACTTCCCATTTCCCCAATATGCCCGAGTAGTTGTTGATCCGCTTTCTGCACGAACTGCATTCACTCTTACAATTCCTCGCTTCAGTAAATATCGCTACAACCTTCAGTTATATCTCTACAACCACTATATATTATCTCTCTACAACCTACAAATACATCACTACAAGTCACAAATACATCGCCACAACACACAAATACATCGCCACAACACAAATAATACATCGCTACAACCTGAGAGTACTGTATAAAGCCAAAAGACATGACTCACTTATCAACAATGTCGAGATTGAGGCCATGAAGCAGCTTGCCCTTGTTCTGAAGAAGGTACCACCTCACCGCCATGTTAATAGGAGTGGTGAGGCAGGCGGTGAAGACGTCTGCAGGGAGGTCGGGGTTCATAGGTAGTATCTCCTTAGCTCCGCACGCCCCGAGTTGAATACACTGGCGGAACGATGGAGGCGGTGGGCTGTTACTTCCGCTATTGCCCTTCTGTTAATTGAGAAATGGTGGAGTTATATAATGAGTAGTACTATATGTTTGGTATATTTTATAGACAGGTGACAAAGTTCCAGGTTTTGTCTTGTGAATAAAGATAATATTCATGTCATCTTCACTATAATACTACGTGAACTTGAGACAAAACAGCACTGATCTATGTGGCTCCTACGCCCCTACAGTAAGAAACGTACTATAGTAACAAACAGCGTGCAGTACTCAAGCTCTACCGAAGAAATGAACGGGTCATACCAACTGCTTCATAAGTGCCGCACTTACCCGCCATTCTTCTTCGTGCTGCTCTGCAAACTGCTCAAACAACTTAACAATGACAGCAGCATTTGAGCAGTCATAGACGTATATAGAAGGTGCACCCATCCAGGTCTGTAGCTCATAAATGGAGAGAGGGATGTACTGAGTGTAACTCTGAAATTAAAGAAGAAAATTTTAATAACATGAAAGACCAATTTTGTTTTGGTAAATCTTTCCTTCAATACATTCCCTATTGAATTCCTCTATGCCCATAACAGTGTATTAATATCACACTCCTGAGAAAACACTGTAACTCTTTAGGCCTCATTATTATTCATATTATTTTTATTAACCTGATTTCTATAGGAAGCAGTTACTCATTCCTCCTGTTGGGTGATCCACACTTTGATGTCTCTTCCTGCTCATCAATACACTGTGAGGAGTGACAACAGTGTATACAGTGCCATGATTTAGACAGTCTGAGCATAAACTTACCTTGTTGAAGACCCATATTTCGCCATTTGTGGTTGGCTTGGGGACACCGTGACCATTGTAGTGGAAAAGGACGCGTTCTTCTTTTGCATTTCTTCTCAGGGACATACACAACTTTTTAACATCATCAACCGTGGGGTCGAGAGACTGTTTGTAGCGAGCTCTCGGCTGCCATCGTTCATAAGCTTTCTGGAGACTGTTCCCAATAGCCTCAATAGCTTTGGATGGTGGCATAGACAGTGGATCTGTGGGAGGAACATTTCTATACATTATCTATAGTAGCATATATAAGGTCTACTTATATTACAGACTACATTCATCCCATTGTACAGAAGAGTCATCGTACTGGGGAATTTAAGAACATAAAATTAAATAAAACTGAATCCAACCCTAATGCAAGAATGTTATCAGGCACAAAAAGTGTTCTCTCTCTTTCTCTCTTGTTGTCTGCACACATACAGTCCATCATAGGAAGGTGGACGAGTTGTAAACCAGGGTGATTCTCTCTCAATAATCACATACACCAGATTTATTTACATTATTTAATTTTTCAAGATTACTTTACAAATAAATGAGGTAAAATACATCCATGCAAATTATCTACCTATACAAATAACCTTTTGGAAAATTATCGAAACTCAACTCATCTAAAAGAAATTAATACGTATTCTGGTGTACATTAAACCAACGCTGACCTGTCCAGGCCTCCAGGCGAGCACATGGCTGAGTCTTGACGATGTCGGGAGGATCAACAGGAATATTGAGACACAACACCAGAGCCACACTCACTGTCTTCATCTGTAAGGAGAGAGAGAGGAATGACACCATGTATTTTGTCCACATTTCACCATATACATTTTCTTCATATCACTTGAAGATTAACCTCCTTCTTATTTCACCTAATGATTAAACACCCCAACATGACCTGGAAGGGGGGGAGGAGGTAAAATGGATTAGGTTTAAAAGTTATGTTATATTAGGTTTGGTTAGGTTAAGTTAGGTTAGCATTAGCATGTTTAATCGTAATGTGATCCAGATATTTCCATTATTATAGGTTAAATTACAACCCTGGATGACCTACACGACACTGGATGATGCAACATATACTACCATAGACCCTCATGATTCGTTGTTATCTATTAATTCAAGAAACAATTTATACAGTAATCATCTATACCAAAAAAAATTCAAAAGTTCAGTTTTTCGCATATATGGAAGGAAGCGATAATGCCAGAGACACTTGGTCTTTAGGTGCTCACATAAACAACAGATAATGGCAACACACTGAGCTCAGATAACCAAGGCTAATCTACATAATAAAATGGTAGGAAAAACAAAATAAGTTGCAATTCCTCTAATGTTCTACTGATATTTAAAAGGTAAAATATATGTTTTCTTCTATGGAGATTTTGTTTAAGTTGCTCATAATAACACACTGTTTTAAATTTATATAATAACAATAAAAACAATGAAAATAATAATAATATAAGTTCATGTGAGCTAACGACAGGCTGACAACTTGTATGGGGGAAAGTTCACTGATAAGTCATCTGTGTCACGCACAACAATGGAGGGATCCTACATAGGTCACTGGCCTCCCTCCCTCATTATTGTCACCTCTAATGGGTGGTCAACATAGTATGGAGGTGGCCGTGTGACAGTGTTGTCCGTCATCATTTATGAGAAAAACTAGGGACAAAAACTTGAATAGAAGTGCGATTCTTTCACCCAATTTACTTCAGTCTTCAGGTAAGAAATAGATTTTCTTCAATAAATAATTGTCGTTAGGAGGCTGGGCAGCTTATACCCTGTCTTTAATATTACCCCCAATAATGTAACTAATAATGTGATACCCTCTTCTCTACGTCACCAATATCCAACCACCGTAAATACTAATCTAGACATTAAAACATCAATTGTGTTCCTACCATAAACATCCAACAAAATAGTGATAGAGATTAATACAACACATGGCAGTTAATTAATACATAGACATCTGGATATAACAGTACACACAAGAAGGAATATAAATCATACTCTTTCCTTGAGTCTCCATGAATGAGCTGCTGTGTTGGGTGCTGTGATCGCCTCTAAATGACGAGATTCAGTTAATACAGTGGGTGATTCTTCTTCTTCTTCCTCCTCCTCTCCAGATAATCGCGACACCTCCGTACTTTCCACCATTGTCAGTATCTACAGGTATATAAAACGCCCCAAGATGACACTATGAGAGAGTTTTAACCTACATCACGTTTTTTTATACTTGTGCGTACTAGGTTGAGTGAGACCGTCCACTACCACCACGCTACTGTTTACATACTCCTGTTGGGGGAAGACCTGCCTAAACCCTCCCACCCCTTACAACTTATTTTAATTTAATCTCGGTATTTAGACCCTTAAAACAAAATATAATAATAAACATAAGAATTTAAACTTTCTACCTACCTTATAGAATATATAATAGTACTTTGGAGCCTTAAAACAAGAAAATAATAATAATATACGACTAAATGTACCTTCTCACTCATTGCATACAATAAATAAGCCTTAAAAAATAAAAATTCTAATAAGAATGACACGAAAGCCCCTCTTCCCACCCACACACTTTATTTTATTAAATATCTCAGGGTTTGAAGCCTTAAAATAATTAACATAATAATAAAATACTATTATGAACCTCCTCCCTCACCTTAAACATGAGATAATCCTTTACAAAATAAAAATTAAATAAATTAACAATATTGACACAAGCTAAAGCGTCTCCTTCCTGACCTAACCCCCACCACCTTATTTTACTTATTATTTCAGTATTTGAAGCCTTAAAAACATTATAATGAGGATACAAAATCAAAATATTATCCCCCATCTTAAACAATGGGTAAACGAATTTGTAGACATAAAAAAATCATAAAAAAAAAACATCCGCCTCAGCAATGGCTCCAAATTGGCTTACGCACTTGTATTGATAATTATATTTATTCAGTAAATTCATCATAAAAATTTACAGTTCATTTGACATGTATATAGACTGCATAGGCATAGAGTTCAGCATGTGTATAGAGAAAGCAAGTATACAGTACAGCATGTATAGACAAAGCATGTATTCCTGAGTTCAGCGTGTGTATTGACAAAGCAGGTACAGTATACAGTTCAGCATGTGTAAAGATCTTTCATTAATTTTTTATATTAACAATGTAATAATAAAAGGTTCTATTAATTATTTTATTTCACCTAATGGCCATCCCCCTCTATCTATTATCTTATCTCTAAGTTACGTATGGGGTAGTTTACGGGAGAGAGAATGACAAGTCAAGCGCAGAAAGTGTTATGAAAAGGGTACAAATTTATTTGTTTATTTTGGTATATTTATTAACTTAATAATACCACAATAGCGATTAGTTTATCGTGGTTTTATTACTACCGAGTGTATATCTGCACTGCCTATGTACGTACATTGTATACCTGTACTCTCTATGTACATACGTACATTGTATACATGTACTCTCTATGTACGTACATTGTATTCCTGTACGGTCTATGTACTACATGCTGAATCAAAATGAGCTTGTAAGAACATAAAACAAAAATGGAGGAAACTGCAGCGGGCCGATTAACCCATATTGAGCAGTCCCGTTTACACACTATCTATCAATCAATGTTTGTGTCTATTTAGGCGTTGGTAAAACTTTACCTTCAGTTACTGTCATATTCTTGTATCTAGGCCAGTGGTCACCAACCAGTAGTCCGCTGCACCATATCATGGAGCCCACAAGGGTTTATTAGAAAATTGGGATTCTTTATCAGTGAAAATAATGAAAATATATAGCTTGACACGACTTTAGAGAGGGGGGGGGGGACTGTGATCCAGGCACTAAGACCAAAGACTATAATAATCTTTGACTAAGGCTAAGGAGTATTGTGCCGGCACCAAGTATGATTTCTATCAAGACCAGACTTGACAAGCACTGGAGCAAGTTCAGACACTCAGGACCCAGTGCATGCCCAGTACCTGGCAATAGTGCGTAACATTGACGGAGGATGTACTGTACTGTCGCATCCTGCTAAGAGTGAGCTCAACAATAGTGAGACGATAAGCAGTCTGCTGAGAACTTTCTGTTGGTGCGCATCTCTGCACTTCCTTAATTTCGGTGTTAAGGTGAGTTTTATTATTAATATTATTCTTTTCACCATTGGTCGGTTTTGAATTCGGTCGGACAGTCTGTTTCGTGGATGCGGGGAGGGGATGGGGAGGGGTTACTGGTCGTTTTTTCTTTGATGCAGTGTTTACTTTTATGATTTACCTTTATCTTCTTTGCCACTGATGGGCACGTTAACCGCTTGGGCAGTCGGTCACGTCTGTTACGTACTGTTGGCAAGTACTGGTTCCTGAATGCATCTGTACAGGGGCGGATCCAGGAATATAATAAAGGGGGTCCAAGAAGTTATGGGTGAGGGAACATGGCGAGCACAGTGAGCCCACCCAGCTTGGGGTTTAGGGGGGGGGGGGCTGAGAACAATACTGCATCAAAGAAAAAGTATTGTAATTTTATCATAAAAAGGGAGCGGGTCCGGACCCCCACGACCTCCCCCTCACCTGGATCCGCCCCTGCTGTACCTGCTCCAGTGTTGGTAAGTCTGGTCTTGAAAGAGCTCACACTCGGTACCGTCACGAATCCAGAAAAAAGGTCACAAGAAAAAACGCAGAAAGAACCTAACCTAACTTAACCTACGTGCAATGCCATCATATATAAAGTGTGTTGTTAATATGTACATGTCATGTGACTTTTTTCCAGTGACTTTATTTCCGTTCACCACCTTCACAACTCTGGCAGATTGTTCTAAGACTTCACAATTCTCACTCCGAAAAAGTTTGTCCTCAT